TAAGCCTTAATAATATTTCTCCAACAGTGTGAGCAATAGTGGTTCTCTGTTCTTTCGGTAAAATCATGGCTATCATAGGCTTCTCACTAATGAAGATCTAACTTTAAACCTTTGTGTGAAATGTCCCACATATGAAGCTAGATTTGGCTAATCCTTGCATCTTGCAAGTGTACTCAGCAAGTATTCAGTGTTTCCTAAATTAATGGATCTGTGGCTCTGAATCATAGAATTAGATGAGACTGTAGAAGCCACCTAGTCAATGTTGCGGGGAGACGTTAACATCTCTCCATGATGGTGTCTTAGGAGTAATGTATTGAAACACTATTTGGACACTTTCATATGAAGCTTTGTTTCCCATCTATCAGTATTTTATTCAGTAATGAGGTATCATGAAGCCAAAGCCTAGTCACATGGATTATTTAGATTATTTTCTTCACCCCACTTCCTCCCTCTTTCCATATAAGATGTAAACAACAAATTCCTGTTGGTGATGTATTAAGCAATGTTATCTCCATTGAACGAGTTGACCTATGTCCAAGGAGCTTTGGAGAAATTTCCAGGCAGGAAATTGTTAGAGAAGGGAGAGAAAAGTAGGGTATGGGCGTTGTTTCAGATCCAGGTCCAACTCTCTCCATTGCAGTCTTCAGCTCACAGCCTAAGAGGGGGGGCTTCAGGAATTGCTGTCTGAGGTAGCTGATGCTTGGGGAGCTGACTTGTGACTGGTGGAATGAATCTTCATTGAGATTATAGACAGGAGAATAAGGTATCTCCTTATTCTCTGGAAGGTAGGAGAGTAGAGAGTCATCCAGAGAGCCAGCTTCTACCATGTTAGGGAATGCACACAGACTTGATGCAGGGTGGGGGTAGGAAGAACAGATCCCTTGCTTCCTGGATGATTGTCACTTCTGGTTACAATCTTTATAGTGCAATATGCATTTTCATTGCCCTGTTACTTTTTTATTATTTTTTTACACAGACAAATTACAAATGCAGACCTCTAGACATATCTTAGTTATGGTTTTACCCACTCTGCCTTTTATTCCTGAATTGTGTATATTCCTCACATTTTTCTCTCATTTAATAATGTTAATTTGTTGCATTAAGATTTTCAGACACTTTTTATATCCAATAGAATGATTGCTCAAATCATGTTCATAAGAACATCTATGAATAAGATCTTATGGAATAGACTAGATCCATTTACTTAAAAAAGAAATAACTTTATTATTGCAAACATAAATTTTAGAACAACTGCCATTGGTTAATCATGCGTGTGAGAAAAGATTAAAGATACTTTCCTAGTATGTTTGAATGGAACATTTATAAAATTCCCAAATTAGTTTGACAATTTAAAAACTCAAAAGTTGCTTTTCTTTGTTTACTTAGATAATTTTCTTTACTTACGAGGCATTTTGAATTGCTTGACAGAATAGATATGGTTTCAAGAAAAGTCAGAAAACCAGTATCCAGATATCTGAAAAATAGAAAATTCAGATGAAATCTTCATTCTGACTCTGAAATGTCATGATTGATAATAAAAATACTTGGCTGCACAGCTAGAATCAGTGGCGGTAGGCTGAAATGCCTATTAATTTGATGCTGATGTTTCTATAGAAGGATGCAGATAATTCACCTGTCAGCAAAGGACTGGTATTCTCTCAAACTGTTCCTTTATATGCATGGAATGATGGACTTTTAACCAGACTTACTAGGAAAATTATTGGCATTGAGAAGAACAAGCAAAAGATGACTGCAAAAATTGAGATTCTTGTGTCAGCACTCATGGTGTAGTTCTGATAATTATGGAAAGCATCTGCTTCCTCAGTGTTCACCATCACTGGTGAGGGATGACCTAGACACGAATAAAAAGGAATGTGAGCATGTCACCCTAGTCATCACTACAGTCTCCGCCCCAAGTGAGCTACATGTCCCAAATGTAACACTCTGTTCTCACACATACATCTCCAAAAGTAACAGGCCAAATTTGACAATGCTGTTGGATTTGTCACAAAATCCAAATGTGAACATTTAAACTTTGCATGACACCTTGACATTTGCTTCATTTGTGCATTTTAATTTTACATAGTAAGTATGTTTACTGTCCATATGAAAGTATGCTATAGAATTAATTTCATACCTGAAGTAACCATTCACCACAGAGAATACATTTGTGTTTATACAGACAATAATCTGTGGTAGAATATTATTTTAAGGTGTATGACTTTTGTTTAGGCTGCATTTGTTTAATTCTGCGAAGCTGTGATTCTTTGCTTGTCTAAAACACCTGATGACCTAATAAAGAGCTGAACGGCTGGCCAATAGTGAGGCAGGAGCAAGGACAGGCGGGGTGGGCAGGCAGAGGGTTTAGATAAAAGGAGAACCAAGAGGAGAGAAAGAGGAGCAGCAAGAGAACAAGGAAGGAGAGCATCAGGGGCCAGCCACCCAGCTCAGCACCCAGGAAGAATGAAAGCAAGATTTAAAGAAGAGAAAGATAAAAGCCCAGGGACAAAAGGTAGACGGGGTATTTTAAGATTAAGAAAAGCTAGCTGCACCATTGTCACCTATATTAAGGGAGTCTAGTTGGCTTTATGTAGGTTCCCCATTTGTTAGACCTGAGTCAGTGATCTCTGAGGTCGCTGACAAGTGGGTCCAAGATCTAATTCTGACACACAAACTGACTTAGTGGAGCCCATTTTACATGGAGAGATACCTTGCTCAGCTTAGACACAGGAGTGTGACGGGTGGGTAGGTGCCTTGGTGCTGCCTCAAAGAGTTGATGGGACAGATTTAGTAGATTTCCTCCTAGGGGAGGTCTTATCCTCTCTGAGGAGCACATGAGAGGTAGAGGCTGGGGAGTGGGAGAAGAGGAGAGAGGGGGAACTGTGATTGAAATAAATTAATACATTAATTTAAAAAGTTAAAAATAATAGAGCAGTAAATTAAAAACAAAAGAAAGAAAAGTAAAGCTAGCAAGAAACAAGCCAAGCTAAGGCCAGACATTCATAACTAAGAATAAGCCTCTGTGTGTGAATTACTTGCCAAAAAGACAAAAGAGTAAAAAATATTTCAAACAATAATAATCATTGGAAAATTGAAGACCAAAAGTAAATGATTAAGACATGTTTGTGAAAAAAAATTTTCTCCAAAATAGGTTTTAGTACACGTTTTTAAAAAGTGGATTGTTGATGTTTAGGCTCAAATTAAACTGTCTTATATTTCCTATATTTCAATCATTCTGAAATCATTTATGAATCATGAAATCAGTTATTTACTATCTGCCCTTCAAATCATAAGTAGATCTTTGTTACGTATGATGGCTAGCATTTACTTTATCACTACAAGGATCACAGTATGTCCTCTATCCAGTGGTTTCATAAGCAAATAATAATTAATTGACTAATATTAATGAGAAGATACACATGAATATAAAAAAAACCTAAAGATTCCATTTGACATTTGTTAACTGTTAATGTCTGTCAGGTACTCTCTAAGTACTCACATAGATTACTCATTCAATCACTATAAGTTTGTAAAATCAATGCTACTATTTAAGTTAGAGACATGTTGAGAAAAACTGGTTTATGAAATGTACAGGGTACTAAGTGGCAGAGTCTGCTTGTGGGCCTCAGTGCTGGTTTATGGTGCTGGGAGTTAAACTTAAGGTCTACCACTTATCTACTTTCCTAACCCCTAACTCTAGCTCTGAGGCATTGTTTTTATAGAGGGCCTGCCAAAAAGGAGGCTTGCTATAATGTTGCTTTGCTTTGAGTCCAAAGAAAAAATGGTTTCCATCTCTGGAGAAATAACTTAAAGTGTGTGTGGGTTTTTTGTTGTTGTTCAAAAGAGACTATATACATGAAAAATAGAATTGTCTCAATTTTTTTCATGTGGAATTTTGTCTCCACAGTATAAGAAATAAACAATTTTGCTAATGAATATTAAAATAGAAAGGTGGAAATATCAGGGAAATTTCATATAGTATTACTTTTATAATCAGAAGAAACCTATATTTTTTTGACTGTGAGCCTAGCCTTGGCTGGGCCGTCTCTCCAGCCAGGAAAAAACTTTTAATGGCTATGTACTTGAAAGTAGTCTTAAAATGTTAAGGCCCTAAATTCATTCAGGAGAGACAGCTGAGGGACAGGGAAGACCCACAATGCCAATGTCTTGACCAGTGGGGGAAATCTGTTCAGACAAGTGAGCCATGGGTGGAAAAAGGAGAGGCATGTGACTAGAAGGGAGAGAATTCTAGGCTGAGTCATGGATGATTACCTGTACAGCAGAGTATGACAGAGCAAGTGGAAAGAGGTAAGACTAGACGTAAAATCACGTATTGAGGCCTGATTTGCTGTGCTCTGACTGAATTTTATCTGCAAATCAGTCAGAAAGATTCGCAAGTTGTTGGGCGGCAGGATTCTACTTTTGAGTTAGAAAGATCTACATGGTATTTATTACCTTACCACACAGAAGGACTTGGGTAGTGAAGAGCCTGGAGCAGGAGCATGCAGACAAACAAGCGAGGAGGCCAAGAGGAGAAGCGGAGAAAAGAGGCTTTGTAGAAGCGGGCTATGTCACTGACTAGATCTTGGAATTGAAAGTTATTGGGGTGAAGGAGGGGGAAATGAAGGTTATCTTTATGAAGCTGTTCTAGGCAGTCAGGCGAGCGGGAGATCAGGTGAAGATGCTATGAGAAGGTTCAGATTTTTTGAGTTTGAGGAAGTTGCTGGATGCTTTGGTGACGATTTGCAGAAGAATTTAAAAATCAGGGAAAAATAAAAATCTGGGGAGCTTGTTTTTAGGTATCGGAGCAGAAATATTCACTTGGAAGCAGGAGGGAATAATGAACCTTCACATCAAATATCATTTGTGTTTAGGAATTGTAAATTATTTTCTAGACTTCCTAGATCACATAGTTCCAGGCATCTTTGTGTTTAAATTGGGGTGCTCTGTCTTCACACTGGATGACACACTGACTGTACTTTTTGTTCTCCTGGACTTAGGCCTTGGAAGATCGTGTGTGGGAACTCTTACAGGAAGCAGACAGGACAGCGGAAGCTAACAAGACTCAAGGTCAGGTGTACGACGCCATGGCCCAGACTCTGGGTGAAGCGTGGGCAACCCTGGTCTCCATGCTTGAAAAGAGAAGGGAGCTACTCGGGCTGACTTCTGAGTTTTTTGAAAGTGCTTTGGAGGTTGGTGTTTCAGAAAAACATTTGCTTCTCCAAATCAATGCAAATAACTAGCACACTCTAAAATGTTTGACTTCCTAAAACACATGTTGTGCACATGTTCAAAATGACAGAATGACCAAGATATATGTAATTATTTTGAAAAAATAAAATTAATATTTTAAATATAGCTCATCAGTCACAAAAATATAGATAGTTAAGTGAAACTCTTACTCATGTCACTTTGATCCGGTTCCCTATTTAGAAGATAGTAATGTAGTCATGGAATCTTATGACTCCTACTGAACAAGTTAGTAGGGGATGCTGAAGAGGATTTTACTGACTAAAAGTCAGAGGATAAACTTTCTCCTACTCACTTGAAACATCAATCACAAAGTATTTCATAGAATGTTTGACTTGTAGACGTAGCATTTCATACAGTATTTTCTTGAGGAACACAGGTGAATTTCTATAGTTTAAACCTATTAAAATGCAAGTAAAGGAAGAAAAAGGCCCTGGACTTCAAATTGTTTACGGCTCTAATCCTCAGCGTGAACCTGGGACGTTAGGGCCTAAGATGAAGTAGACTAAGGCCTCACACAATGGCCAACTTTACCAGAGTATCAGTTTATACTCTGAGGGTCCTGTCACTGAGTAAAGTATATAATCACAAGGACAAGCTGCTCATATTTTCCATTGAGTCATATGACAGCTGAAGTAAACTCCATCCTCTCCACTACACCTGGGAGTAGCAGAACATATACCCCAGGAACAATTCTGCGTTCCAAAGAAACTGAGGTTGCCACACTTAAATCTTGCTTTCTTGGAGTTTTCTCACAAGTACTCAGAACTCTCCTCACACAACCCTACTCTAGGACTGTGTTCTGACACAGTTGAATGACCATTGAATCCTTCTGCAATTTTTCTTTAGTTTACATATTTATTTATTTATTTTTCCTTTTTTTTTTCTTTTTGGAAGCTTTTGATTTCAAAATGTGAGACCTCCCCCACAATTTTTTTCTAAAAGTCATACATTTTGTATAAGATACTTATTGGAAATTTCATGTTTTAACCCCAGCAGCAGTATGCTCTTGCTGATGACAAATGCTACTTCACCATGAAAAATCACTAGTGTTGAAAACCATGACATTCTTAGAAGGGAAATTCAGGAGTTAAATCCAGAATAATGAAGGCAAGAAGATTAGCAACAGAACATAAAACTTAAGGGCGACAATCTCATGGGCCATGAACTCCAGAAGAGGGAAAAAACCCTCATCGTAGCTTTCAAGATTCACACGCCACAGCTTAACACCAAAGCACTGCTCATTTTATGGACCATTTTGGGTGTGAGGCATTCCTTATACGATCTCCTTTCTTGAGAGAAGAAATAAGACAGCTGAAATATAGTCACAGAAGCTGAATAATAGCCCTAGCCGATTCATCCCATCTTAGTAGGAGGGTTATAAGTGTCACTGTCTTTAAAACTCAGTCTTCCTGAGCACAGCAAATTATTTTTTTCTGACATTAGGCTCAATATTTGTTTCTCGGTGGGTTTCAGTATTAATGCTAGTTAATTTTCTCTGTGATGTGGAAATTACTTCCAGATATTGCAAGGAGTAGAAGGAAATACTAAGCCAAACCAGATCAATGAGGCGCTCTTATCCATACAGCTGAGTGAGCTTTTATTGGATCTAGGGAGATGACTAAATATGTCTGTATTATCCTGCATTCCATTCCAGAAACCTCTCACACTGAGTGGAAGCAGAGTCCTATAGACTCTGCAGGCTACTTCTCCATGGAAAAGCAGTTTTCAGCACTGCAAAAAATAAAAATAAAAAAGATGATGATGAAATTAATTTTAACTTTTTTAAAATTCCCATTGCCATTTCTGCTCCGAAATAAGTTAATAAATCAAGGAATTTTTAAAGCTTCTTGTTTACAGTTGAAACAATTTTGTGTGTAAGAATCTTAAGTAGAGACATAAACTATGTTGTGGCTATAAACTTTTGTAATGTTCTGTTGGAAAACAACAAATAACCTATGGGCATTTTCTCTTGTAGATTCTCTTGGAATACTATCTTTAAAAATCAGTTATCAGAACCTGATGAGGGAGAGATGCAAACACTTGTGTGCATGTAACCCCCTATAATTAACCATGCCAGACTTCTTTAGGGTTCTAAGAGAAGTTATGATGGGCTGGTTGGTGACTATTACAGGATAACATCTGACTCCTAGGCTTAACTGTCATGTGAGTGACAGTGGCCATGAGCTTGTCCTACAACTCGGCAGAGGCCTGCTGTGCTTTTCAAAGGGGGCATGCTCACCAGCCCTTCATATCATTCCATACCACTTAGAACTGCATTTCCTGCACCTGTTGTAGTAACCAAAAATGTAATACTATCTCTTAGTCAATGGATTTCATAAAATATTAGCAATCACCAAATTCAAAGATGATTTTTTTAGAAAAGCAAAACAGGAAGTCAAGTGCAGTGGGAGGCTTCTTTGTCTTTCTCATGGATACTGGGCCTTTATTGTTTTATTCCAAACCAAACACAAAGATGAACTTTTTACTGTACTCTTTAGAAACTATGATAAACCCCACTGAACCTTGATGTAAAAACAGGCCAGCTGTCTGCCACTATGGGGACACTGTAATAGAATATTTAACTATGCTTTGCCCCCACTGGGGATTTTATCCTGACTTCAAATATCTTTTCATCTTGAATTTACATTAAGGAAAAAATTTTAAAATAAAACTGATAATATTGGTCACCATATTGGTGCCATGTTGTTACACACCCTCCTTTGAAATGGAGAAATGTTTCAGTTTTCATTTCTGCTTTGGAATTTTATTTATACAAATGAGGTACAGATACTATTGACACAATTTCAAATACAGTTGCCAACTGAAGTTTCAATAGCTAAAGCTTGCCTCTTCTCTCTCATTCCCAATCATATTACTTCTTATAAAATTAACAAAATTGGTACATTTAGTTTTAGACCCCATTTCTTTCCTCTTTACATGTGTGTATGTATGTGTGTGCACATGTACGCCTAGCATGTTTTCTTCACTGACATTAGTAGACTGTTATTCAGAAACATCTATATAGTATGTCTAAGTTTAAACACACAGGAAAATACCATTGTTATTTAATTAGATTTTCTCTGAGATCTCTAAGTTAAATTTACTTGTGATTTTACAGATTATTGTTTATCCAATCTTTTGTTGATGTTTGTCAGCAAGTTTTCCAGCTCTTCTCTGAGAAACTGCCTTAGAGTATTGCTAGTTACTGCGTTTATGGCTGTTGGGAAGATATAATCTATATGAGATAATTTCGGCTGAAAAACTTACTAGATATTTGAACATAAACAAGATGGTTTAGTTTAGTATACATAATGTGTTTTTAGTTACAAAAGAAATAAAAATGGAGGAGAAGCCATGGCATTTTTGTAAAGTTAGTGCATGTGGATACATGCATACTATCCTAGATTAGCACATGCTAACATGCATGTTCCCAACCCTCAACTTGAGTCAGCTAAGCCATTAATGCATAAGGAAAATCTATAAATCCATAAATATAACAAAGTGTTCCATTGGTTTTTTTTATCATTTCATGTCTTTCCCTATATTTTTTGTAGTTCGCTATAAAAATAGACCAAGCTGAAGCTTTTCTACAGAACCCTCATGAATTTGAGAGCGCGGAGGCCTTACAGTCACTTCTTCTGCTTCATGACCGTCATGCCAAAGGCAAGAAATGCTTACAGATTCTTATGAATTAGTGTTTGGAGATTTTCTGCTGTTGTATTCTAGTTTGTTTTAAAAAAAGAAAAGATAAAGCTTTGCTTTTGGCCATCTTCTTGAAGAATGTACTAGTTGTAAATATGCTAGGGGAAGGTAGAGATTCTGTGGAAACTTAAGCCATAGGTGTAATAGATCATCCGTGAGGACAGAGGGGGCCTCTCTCCTGTTCACCCCTCCATCCCCCTGCATCCAGCATCTCACAAGGTGTGCAGTACGTTGTACCCTTAAGCTACACTCACTGATTGAATTCATTGTTCTAACTAAGGGTAGATAAATGCAAACCAACCTTTAAACATCAACCAGGAGTAAGGAAAACTCCTCTTTCATCATCACAGTGAAAAAAGAATGGGAAAATTTTTCTAGATAAAGGTCCAGTAAAACATGATGCAAAATATTTTAAATGCTCTCAGAGTACTTTGTAGCAATGGTTGAATTGTTAAAGCATAGTTTATATGCCAGGTCTTCACCACAAGAATCTGGGACTGGCCTAACTGGTATATGGAAGGTGTCATCTATGAAATAATGTCAATAAATGGGTGGGGAAGGTTCCTTCTTTTCTTGGTTTTATATATATATAATCTGAACTTGATCTGAGCAAAATGGCTTCAAAGATTTGTCACAAATTTTGATGTTGTATATTTTGGTTTTTACAAAGACTCTCTCTCTATAGCCTTTGTTTGTCACTTTTAAATTGAATTTGATCCCCCAAAAGTTTGACTAGGCTAGAAAAGGGATAAAACACTAAAGTGTACTTTTAAAGACACACACTTTATATTGCTCTCCAAAGTCTCTATAAAACAGTTCTTTATTATGAATTCCTTGCTACAAGTTTCCCGAAATAAAGTGTTTAATAACAGTCTTCCCAGTGTAAATTTTTATGACAGCCTACCAACTGTATAGATGTATTTTTCCTGATGACTTGTCAGTCACACCTGTCACTTTATCAGCAGACTCAGCACAAAAGCATCTGCTGGCTGTTTTGACATGGCAACAGTTATCTAGCCAGGTCCCCTGGGGCTGAGCTGAATCACTTAACATTCCTGGTAGGGGGCTGGAAGAGATTTCTGTGGCCTTGATGTGTTCTATTATCTCAACTTAATCTCACCCAGCCAACACTATCATCGCACAGCAACTTTACTCATGGAGTTTTACCCTGTGGAAGAGGGGACTTTCCGGTGACTATTTGGAGCTGGAAGGGGAGACAGTGTCTTTCTTCCTCCTTCTGCTTCTGCTGGCTTCTTCAAATTTAACAGCATCTGTGGCACAATGAGCCAGCTGACACAGATGCACACTGCTTTCATAAGGAAGCCTGAGGCTATACTGTCCTGACATCCAGCTGACAACGGAGCCATGCCTCACTTTTCAGTTCTAATCTTTGGGAGTCTACCTAGCCTCCTCTAGGGTTGACAAGCTAGATAAAATGCTAGCCAAATGCAGGGAGCATACTTTGTCTTTGGTGGCAGGAATCTTGGGATATTTTTAAGCCTCTCTGTGTGATACTTGAAGGATCGTAGGGGGCAGTGATCAGAAGAACTGGATCCTAATGAATAATGCCCAATGGTAGCTTCAAGAGCTTTGTTTTTATAAAATGGGAGTTACACTAATCAGCCGATTAGTGGGATGTGGTTAAGATGATGTGATTTGAAGTGCTTATTAGTGGATGAAATTTCTGATTGCTAGTCAAGGGCTTTATACCTATCATCATCACTAAGTTTAAGGGAATAAAATGTGAGTTAGCAGGTCTAATAAATTTCTGAGTAGTTGAGCAGTTGAGTGGTACAAAAGTGATTGCCATGATGACAAAAACTACCTAGAAGCTATTATGAAACTTAGCCTCAATTGTCCCTTTGATTCTTTAGCTTCATCTATGTGACCACTGTGTCTCATGGCTTAGGTAAGAACAGTGTAACTGGCTGAGGTTTCTGCCTGCCAGAATGTTCCACCAGAGTATAATGCCTTAGATAGCTGAAGACCAACATAACCTCAACTGTCTTCTCTCCTTTTGAACTAACCTTGGCTTGTTAGTCTTTTTTCCTGAAAACAGTTTCCCAATTACTTTCCAATCTTGTCTTTTGCATTCAACGACATATAACAATGTCTCTGAAACAGTTCCTGGTGAGGAACCCAGGGTCATGTCATCATATTGCACTGGGGTTAGTGGCAAGGGCAGTTATTAACCAAATAAGCATACACACAGCTGTAATATTATAGCCAAGATAAGAGATATGAATGAAGGTAATGTTGCACTATAAAAATGCTTAGTAGGAATATTAGTTCATGTTATCCTTTAAGGAACTGACAGCTGAAATGTGAGTAAGTAGGGGTAGAGATAAAGGGAGTTGAGGTGAATGGCATTCTTGGCAGAGGAAGTGAGGTAGACTAGGGATGCAGGAGAAAGTATAGGTGTATGATGAATTTACAGAGGTAAGGTTGAGACTTCTGGAAAAGGAAGATATAAATTAGGTCATGCCAGATATGATAATCTAAAGAATCTAGCCCTTCATTTTAAGAGAAGGAAGCCATTGTTGAGAGAAGAGAAGTGGGATGGTGATATAGGGAAAGGAAAAGGGGGATGGGGGAATAGAAACAGGTAGAGGAAGAAGGAGAGGGAGCAGGAGAGACAAAGTTCTGGATATGTCTCCTGGGAGACCTGGACAAATACCTGCTCATCTTAGGCACTGATGATAGTCTATGGAAAATATTCCTACATTTAGCTTGGTGAAACAGTAAGTCTACTGGGGTTACTTATAGGGGCATGAATGATTTAAAAGCAGCATTATCTCCTAAGAGCCAACCCAAGCATGGATGAAAACTCATAAAAGCTGCCTTCCCAGAGCTTCCTACAGTTTGCAGGAAGATGTCCTGAGAAGACTCATTCCACAATTATCTACAGCTCATATAACCCTGGGTAGGGACGAGGCTGTGGATCTTACAGTTTTAGAGCTCTTGGGTCGTGTAAGTATAGTGAGCTTCCTGGACCTCATAAATATTTTAGTCTCCTGAGTCTTAGGAGCCTTCTTTCCCCCTTCAGGAAGGAATGTTTTAATTTGGGTGAAATAGCACATACCACAAGGTATGTTTACAAAGATCTCCATGGTTAAATGTGAAGAATGGGTGAGTAGGTTAGAAAGGATGCTGTCAAGAAAGGGTTGCACAAGTCTAGGCACCAGATGACACTTGCATCATGGGATGGAGAGAAGTAGACAGATGCAGAAAGTGGGATGGGATTGTAAAATAGGCAAGTCACTGAAGGTGAGATAAAGGGGAGGGGTGTACCTGGTTCTATTCCTGGTTTTTAGAGAGTGGACATACCTGTAACTGTTTCTCCAATTGATGCTGAGGTATTGATCTTCAAAGCATTGCTCTTAATTCCTACCCTTTAATACTCTTCCCCCCTGGTGGTTCTTCAGTTCTTAGGATTTAAATCCCCATTCTACAATATACAAAACAATCACTACAGAGGTTGTCAACTGGTGATCAGTTTGACAGACACATGTGTTTGATCACATGGGATTGAAAAACACAAGTTGCAAAGCATTTAAAATGTTTATACATTTAAATTCTTTTTGGTGTAGCTTATCATTAATATGTCACACATATAAATTATATGAAGAATGCAAATACAAGAACATAAATGTTCATTACTACATTATTTTATCTTTTAAATTTTCTTTCAGAACTCTTAGAAAGATCTCTAGTTCTTTTAAACAAAAGTCAACAACTCATTGACTTCATAGAAAAATTCAAGTGTGATGGATCCAATGTGAATTCTGAGCTGATTCAAGGAGCTCAAAGTAGCTGTCTGAAGATTGACAGCCTTCTTGAGCTTCTACAAGACAGGAGAAGGCAGTTGGACAAGTACTTGCAGCAACAGCGGCAGGAACTGGCTCAGGTTCTACAGCTATGTCGGTGGGACCAGCAAGAAAACAAGGTAACACAATTGGGCATTGGGTGGACTCTTGGTCTTGGTCAGTTATATGGACTAGTAATATTCTGGAATGGTATCACTATTGCCATGGTTGAATCTGTTAATGCATTTTCTCTTAACTATCATATGACTTTCCCAAGTAAGTATGCATATGAAAATGAAGATTTCCATTGCCTTTTCTTATAACATTAACATTATAAGCAGGAGAATACCTGTGAAGACTTGAAAACGACAGTATTCTACCACTGAATTTGCATTCTCCCTTCCAGAGTATTACTTTGGGTCTTGATTTTCCTTTACATTCTGAAATATGAATTACGGTTTTCTGGAATGCTGGAAAGATGTGCTGAATTGTGCTACATTGCTGCTGATGTCATTTAAAACAGTCCATAGCACAAAACAGGGGCAGCATTCCTAGAAGAGTGGTCAGGTACCAGTGGGAAAACGTAGAACATCGGCTGGTGTCTGAATGTTCTTGGTTATAGGGGTTTTGGACCCCTCAGCTTTGCAGACTCAGCAGAGCTCATGATTTGCACTCTAGGCACATAATAATCACTTAAACTGAAAATGGTTGGTATAGCTCCTGCAATATTTCTGTTAGTCTCAATCCCATACTCACTGGTGTATAGATTAAGTGACAGGAAACCTCCTGGTCGGGATGCATAGGAGAGGGATCGTTTCATGTTTCCCGTTTCTCAGGTACAAACAGGAATACAGACATATAGCTGGAAGCATATGTTGGTTCTTACTTCAAGCTGGAAAAAAAAGATTTAATATCTAACATTTTGATTTAGTTACTTAGTACCTAGTATGTGCTGTGTCCTACTACAAGTGTTGCAGACACACACAACACAAGTCAGTATCTCTTTCCTTTATGGATTTTCTTCTGTTCTATTTCTCAGTCTTTTCACTAGTGATATTTGGTGGTACATGACTTTTGCTCTGGTGCTTGGTGCATACCAGGAAGTAGAATCTCTGATATTTACCTCCTGGTTTTGAGTAGAACACCCTTAGTTAGTTAGGGCATCTAAAATCTCACCAGAATTTGTAAAATGTACCCCAGCATGCAAAATCATTGTGACTTGAGAACTATTAGACTGTATGATGAGTAAGTTATAAAATAAGTGATCGGTGACAGGTGCTATTTAAAAATCCAATGACACATGAATGTTGGCATGTATTGCTCTATTAATCAGGCAGATCTCTTGCACGAAGCAGCATGGATTGGAAACACCAGTGTAGACCCCTCTTGTCATATATTCTACTTGTGTTCTGTTTCCTACTTCTCTGGGTATCTTCTTCTCCTGGTATCTTCTGCCTGGGCTCTTCTGGCTCCTGCCTGCTTCAAATGATGTACCTGCCTGCTTCTCTTTTCAGGGACCCATCTTTATTCCCACACCACCTCTCACATGTGTTACTTACCATGCAGCCATACAGTGCAATCGTCAGTAGTGATGGTAGTATTCCAAGAAGGAATTCATACCCAGATGAGCATCCATTAAAAATGCTTTATTAAATGAGTGTTCCCAGATTCTTTGCCTTTCCTATCACAAGCAGGTCCATTATAGTTGCATGTTCTTCCTTCTCTCTTCCCTCTTTCTTGGTCTCCACTTACCCTCTCTGACTTACAATTTTCTCCTAATTCTGATTCTGGTAGTATGCTCCTAGAGCAACTGTCTTTTTAAGGGGATTTCTCACCAGTGTTTTTCTTCTTACGTTCATAAATCAAACCCCTGAACTCTGATGCTCCCAAGGACAGATGCCAAACTCGCCTCGTTTTAATATACAGGCAGTTGTTGCTCATTCAGCTTAACACAGAGACCTGTTCTCTCCAGAGAAAAGGCTCATCAAAGAGGATTTTCCCAAGCACAGAGCAATTGGCCCAATAATGAAAACATAGCCATAGTAGGTTTTACTTATTTATTTTTGAGTTGGTAAATTTGCCTTCCTGGCTGCAAAAATAATCATCCACTTGAATTCCTGCAGTTTAAAAAGATATCAGAATTCAGAAAACTCTAGATGACAATATTCTAGTTCATATACATACTGAAGAAAAATGGACATATCTTGACATCCTTGGGAAACTGAGATGTTTGCTGATAGCTAAAGTCAGATTTTGTAGAAGGGTTATGACTTGGTGAATTCTGACTTAATGGAGCCTTTACCTTCCTCTCTCCCTGTATCTTTCCTTCTTCCCTCCCTCCTTTCCTCCATCCCTTTCTTCTTTAAAAGAGGTTGCTTTTGGAAAGACGCCATTCATCTTTTAGAGATGTTTTCAGTTGATAGGGAAATTGAGCAGAAAGTAGAGATTTACCTTGCACCCTACCCCATCAACCGTATGTTTAATCAGCATCCTCCAATCGAGGAGGACTTTAACTCCACTGATGTTCTTACGTTAAGACATCATTGTCAGCCAGAGTACTATACTCACTGGGGTCCAGTCTCAGTATTGTATATTGCATAAGTGTGGACAGATGTATAATGGTGGGTCTCTGTCATTATAATTCCATGCAGAATAACTTGACTGCCCCTCAAGTCCTTTGTACTCTGCTCATTTATCCCTCCCTCCCCAGCCATATACACTGATCTGTTTTACCTAGATCGTCCTTTTGGAACCAAGCATTATGTAGATTTTCACACTAACTTACTTTTCAACCCAGCCATAAGCAATTATGTTTCTTTCCTTTCTTTGCATGGCTTGAGAGCACACGTCTGTCTAGGGCTGACTGATATCCTATTGTATATGTATGCAACTACTTTCCCATCGGTTCACTTGCTAAAGAGCATTTTAGTTGCTTCCAGGTTTTAGCAAGTGTGAATAAACAGCCATGTGTAGGTTTTAGTGTCAAATTACATTTCAGTTCATTTGAATAAATAACTAGGAGCATGTGTTGAACAGTGTGCTTATAATATGTTTAACTGTCATCCAAAGTTAGCTCTGCATCCCACCAGCAATGAACAAGATTGCTGTGTTCCATATATCCACCTGCAGTGGATTCTGTGTTTTGGATTCTGGCCTTTCCAGTGAGTGCACAGTAGTATTTCATTGTTTGGCCTTATCTTTAAACTGAGAATAATACAAATTCAGAGAGTTATTCTAATAATAAAATGCAACAACACCATGCATAAACATATAATACAATACCCAGCATCCTCAGAGATGATTAACACACACTACCTTCTTTGCTTTCTCCACATGGTAAAACTAACATGAATTCCTTCCCCAGGTTTGCTATTACTGATCCTATACACACTGGGGGCCCCTGGTGAGCATTGTTGTTCTCCCTATAGACATAGTAATTACGTATACATCCATATACATTCATGGAGATGATGATGGCTCTTTCATTTGTACTCTATTCCTAACAGCCCTGAAACAATATAATTATTGCATAACGATAAGCACTGTTTACATGTAACTCTTTGATGAGTAAGAGAGTCTTCACCTTAAATGTAAAACTTAGACTTGTACTCTGAAAACAGTCCATGGTGCATTTTCTCTTGCTAACTGCAGTACAGCAGCAAGAGCAATTAATAAAAACCATTCTTTGTGCTTGCAAGAACACACATCCTAGGGCCAGACTTCTGCATGGGTTTAAATTATGGCTCCACCATTTATCAACTGAGTAACTGAGCAGTTATTTAAATTCTTTGAAGCTCTGCTATCTCTAAAAACGTGTGTAATAATAGTAATTACCTCAAGCCTTATAAGGATGATCAACTGATTTTTTTATATGTCAAGTACTTGGGACAGTCCCAGGAACATAGTGACTGCCATATCAGAACAACACTTTCTGTCACTGTATCCAAGAGGGAGAATGTAGGCCCAACATATTACCTCCACTACCCAGAGCTGTAGCTGTGACGATAAACGGCATACTTGTTGAGGGTATAGGTAACTGTTTATTTTAGAAATTACTTACAAGAGAATACGGGCAACCAAGATGAGTCAAGTAGCTTTCGCCATAGAACTGGAAGCCGAAAAGAGAAGAGTGCAGCTCTGCTGCACTGTCTTTTATCAGAACCTCCATATACGCCTCTAGCCACGCCCAAAAGTGGGCCTGGCTAGCGGTGTAGTTCACCACCCTATCATTACCACATCCGTATGGGCCTCTAGCCAGCCACATGGCTAGGGCGGAGTCATAAAGTCTCCTCCTACACAGAGCAAGTAAGAATTGGTCTTGGATTGGAGGCCGAACCTGTTACTTATTTTGGATTCATTCTTACTAGCCATATTTATTCATGGACACTCAATTGCATTTTTTAAAGAGTATTTTTTTAGCTTGTTACATAATAATTCTTGTTTGTTGGAATGTGGGACCATTGCTCCCTCAGATGATCACTGTAAGCATTTTGGCATATGCTCGGCCACTTTTGGACTTTTATTCTAGCACAGGTCTAGGCACAGCTATGAACATTTTTCATTAAATATAGAAAAACATAAGCAAAACTAAAGGAGCTCACCTGTGTACGCTACATAATGGCTTTTAAGACTTTGACCAAATCTTAGACATATCGTTGGGTCAAAAGTAGAATAAGAAATTTGATGAATCTATGACACCTATTGTAATATAGTTTAAACAGTGTCTTATTGGAGAGGAGGTAAAGCCTCTTCAGTTTTTGATGCTGTAAGCAGCAATTAAGCATGCAGTGTTGATTGTTTTGTAAACAAGAGACTGTTTTCAGCCTAACTAGACATTGACATAGCATAGTTCTCTTGTGAGATTTTAAGCTTCCTGAATGGTTCGTGGCTGATGCAGTGATCTAATTGGCAGCATGGACACCAGCTTGAGAGAGATTGCTAGGGAGTTGTGGCCCAGGATTGTGATATTCCTGTACAGTCTATCTGATAATCCCAGAACATGGTGGAAACACTTGTCCATTCTGTGCTTGTTTTGTATAGCACAAGGACTATGAATAGATACATTAATAAACAGCAGCTTTGTCAATCATTCTGACCACTTGAGATAAAGGGAAACAGGTGATGAATCAGAACAAAGACA